AATTAGAAATCTGTTGGTCAAAAAAATTAGGAGAAGGAAAATTATTCTGAAATCTGTTGAGAATTGAGATAGAATTGTTTCTGACGAAATTGACAATATTCTTGGGTCGACCAATAATATTATTCTCAATTTGTTTAATAAACTCAATCAACGTTTTTTCTTTGTTATTCTTATTGATTGGAAGCCCAAATTTCTCACCAAGTTGTAGTAGATATTTAACTTCAAGAGGAATGTCAATGCTGCTCAAATTAACAAACCATTTTTCATGTAATGTATCTAGAGAAGGTGCATCACTGAATATTTCAGGATTAAATTTTTATAATTTTTTTATATTTTCGTCTTTTAATACATGATTTTTAAGTATAATAATTAGTAAAATAGTAAAAAAAACGTGTGCAATATAGAATTGGTATAATAATTAAAATTATTAAGGGCATCCTAAAGTGAAGCCCGAACTCCGACGAAATTACCAGAGAGGTCGCTATTCTTCCAGCGCACCGATATATCTTTATATACTACCACAGAAATATCTCACGCAAACTATCATACACGTAGTCGCACGTTCGTATTAATTTTATACGCACGTTCGTATAACAAATTCATCGCAATAAAGCATCTAAGTCTAATTCTAAGAATTCGATGTTATTTGTTCGTGCAAACACGTGTCTATATATATATATATGGATTACTATTTCGTAAGTACAGGTTGCAAAACTTTCGCATCAAACAAATGTTGTCATGACTTGACAGCTTGAGACGCCATGTTACACTAACAAGGGAACGAGCAATGTATTTTTCCTCTATAGCTCTGAATTTTTGTCAGTAGGTTGAGCATCGAAAAAAAATCGACACGTATTTTGCTCAGTTACTCAATAGTTTACGAGACATTAAGTTATGAAACTAGTCGGATACTCTCAAAACTCTAGATCGCCGGTAATAAAATCTCAGTAGTCTCAATGATAATCTTTTTTACTTTTTTTACACTTTTTAAAATTTTATCTATATAAAAAATACGTCTTCACATCATGTTTAATCAGAAAAACACAAAGAATTAATTTTAAAAAACTTTTCATCCAAAAACAACTTATATATTAATTCTGTTAATGTGTTACTTATTTCTAATGTTTCTAAATTTTTCTAAAATGTTTATAAATATTTTTAAACTTTCTAAACGCTTATTATAAAGCATCTAAAAGGCATAAATAAGCCCTCTGTACTACCGATTAATCATAATTTTTGTATAACAATTTTTTTCCTCTTTTACGTATTCGAAAATCCTTTTCCAGGATTAAAGTATACTCATTAATACGTGTCTGTGAAGTAGAGTTTATGCTAAGAATGACAAAAATTTTTTCTTGAGATTTCAATTTCAAAATTTTTTCTCGTTCTCGGAATAAATTCCACCTCACAGACACGTATTAATGTATATACTTTATTCCTGAAAAAGAATTTTCGAATCTGTAAAAGAGGAAAAAAGTAAATCCTTGCAAAGCACGTAATTTCGTTTTTGGAGAAATATTTTTTTCTACGCTTATCTTAATTCCACAAACTCAGTATTATTCGTTCAAGTAATTTGAATCCCGCCTCACGCTTATTTTCACTCTACAAGCTGTAAAACTTTTAAATCAAGCAAATGTTAACCTCTGGTGACAGTTGTACGTGTCAGAAAAAATAAATTATTGTGTTTTCCGGGACTTTTTTTATGCATTTTTTAATTCTGTAAAAAAATTTTACGATCCGTGAAACCAATTCGGAGATTTCTCCTAAAACGTAATTATGATAAAATAGGATGACTTTAGGATCCTCTTAAGAATGTAGTCCGATCAATTTTATAGCTTAATATTTCTTAAACTATCCCACACAGCACAAAGCTCCGTTTAACTCCCGTATTCATAGTCCTTCCCATGATAAAAATACAAGGGTATGCTCATCAATTGTCTAAAACTCGTTCAGCTTGCGCATGTCCTTGCCTACGTCATATTCGGGTACGCGTTGATTGGTCGGTTCTGATTCGGGTGCAATCGGTGGTTATCGGTCGTAATTTATCATGGTGTCCATGGCGTAGTGCACGTTGTCATCGGTAGAAGTTAATGTTAAAAATATTTTCACGATGCCCTGCATAGTGAAAGGATGCGGCAATTATATGAAAAAAACAAAAAAAACTGAGGGAAGTAAAATTAAATATTTTACCTTTTATATTTTACCTTTTTTTTGTCTTTTTATCATGGTCCTTCCTTGAGAAATGAGGATTCCTTGTTCCTCATTCCACGTTTCATAAACTTTCCTTGACCAAACAAAGATCCTTGTTGACTGCCTTATCTCAAGGAAAGTCGCGAGCTTCCTTGAGGTGGAAATCACAGTCTTATTAGCAGAAGACGCGGTAACATAACCTACTTATATACAAAATCAATTTTGTAGGAGAGTATTGTGTATACTGTATAGTACTGACTGTTGCGCTGTATTGAAAAATTAAAATGGATAACGAATTTTTGGATGATTCTGATGATGGATTTGAAAGTGAAAATTATATTCCATGACGTTTACCAAAACGATATATTCGAGACTGCGAAAATCCTATTGAATTTTATGAAGATGTATCTTTTAGAAAACGATATAGATTTGACAAAAGATGTGTAATTAACATTTTATTACCGTTGGTAAATGAACAGTTATTGCGAACCGATAATCGTGGACTGCCGATTTCTCCATTAATGCAGCTTTTAATAACTTTACGATTTTATGCGACTAGTAGCTTTCAAGTATGTAAACTTTGTTTTTTTTTGCTTGCCAAATATATATCATTTTTAATATATTTGGTGTATTTTTTATTCACAGATCGTTAATGGAGATTTGAGAAAATACAGTCAAGCATCTGTATTGCGTATTGTTGCACGAGTATCAAGAATTTTAGCATCTCACGTCAGTATATACATAAACTTCTCTACAGAGCAATATCAGAGGCAAAATATTAATCGCTTTTATGAGATAGCAAATTTTCCTCGTGTAATTGGATGTATCGATTGCACACATGTACGTATTGTCAATCCTGGAGGAAATAATGGAGAGATATTTCGTAATCGAAAAGGATGGTTTTCATTAAATGTGCAGGTATTATATTCAACTGCCATTTTTAATGTGGAGAAACAGATAGAAATTAGTTTTAAAATCTGTATTATATGTTATAGGTTGTATCTGGACCTCGTAGAGAAATATTGGACATCGTTGTAAGACATCCTGGTTCAGCGCATGATTCTTTAATCTTTGATCGAAGCGGTGTTCGATGTCGTTTCGAATTGGGTCTTCTCAATGGGATTTTACTTGGAGATAGTGGATACCCATGTCGAAAATACTTATTGACTCCTGTTTTGAGACCCAATAACGATGCAGAAGTTAGGTATAATAATGCACATAAGAAGACCAGAGTTACCGTTAAACAATTATTCGGAGAATGGAAACGGCGCTTTCCATGCTTATATTATGGCTTAAGAACAAAACTGAATATATCGGTTGCAATTATCTGTGCTACTGCTGTATTACATAATATACGAGTATGTATCCATCATGATATTCCACCATTAGAGGAAATTGAAGAAGAATATATACAATATGAAGTATTTGAGGCTGCTTTTAATCGAGAAGAAGATGGTATTGGGATTACACATAGAAGAGCTTTTATAATAACACATTTTTCGTAGAACATGTATATGTGTGCTTTGAAAATATTAATATTGTAACTCTTAAAATAAATATAATTTGTATTTTTCTATACAACATACGAGTTCTAATTAAACGTAATAACATGGTTATATAATTTGTGTAACACAATCTTAAAATAACTGAAAATAATTTTTTTCAAACCGTATTAATATTATTAAAACATGTTAATTATGCCAAAGTAACATGCTATACATATACTTAATAGTCTTCATTTAGAAATTAAGAGTACTTAATATCACATTGGAAAATACTGAAAACATATTGTTAAATATTAATGAGTATTTAATATTATATCACATATTTTATGGACATATGAAAGATAAAGTTACGTCTAATTAACTGATATCCTAGTATCACACTTTATTAGCGTTAATTGGACAATATTGAACTATTATAATGCCAATGGAGTGTGATAATATAATTTCCTTTTCTATTATTACAGTTGCAACTGACTAGGATATAACAATATCTACCAAACATAGTCTTTGCTATAAACTTATATGAGTTAAACGATAGAATAACTCTATTACTATGCCTGTAAATATTAGTGTGCCTTTGTATTTAAATAAGCCATTAAAAAATTGGCACAAATAAATAAGAAAGGATATTTTTTTTATTAAGTTAACTTAATAAAAAAAAATCTTTTCTTATTAATTTGTGCCAGTTTTTTATTTATAATAAAATAATAGTCGACATATACATATATACTAAATCACAGGGAGGATCCCGTTTGGACACGGCACGTTTGTGACATCTGGGATAATTATATTAATATTATATCTCAGATTGCTCTTTTACTTTATCTTCAGCCATTGACAGTTTAAGCAATACAACTTTCACTTCTGCATCAGCAACTTTCATCTTCATCGAATGAAGTTCTCGCTGCTGCTCAATTGCATCGCGAAGCTTTATTAATCGTAACTCTTTTTCATCTGTTATGTTGTAAAAATCTTGTTTATTTTTTAATACTGAGTTTTGTTTCCTTTTCATGGTTCTGCCAGCGCCAATTTTGTTCATATTAGACATCGAGTATCGACCTTCAGAATTTTCTTTATCTAAATTTTGTAAATAAACATTTTCCTCATCTGCTACTAATACTGAATCTTTATCCTCCTCGTCATTATTATTAGTGATTAATTGCCTGTTTGAGTTACTCTCGATATTGTCTAAACAAAGATATGTATATAAACAAATTAGATAAGTAACGAACATCAAATCAATTCAAAAAATAAAAATTTTCTGGTTTTATTACATATAATAAATAAATATAAAAATTATATATCTTACACTCATTCTCAAATTGAGCTGTACTGTCAAATGGACATGATATTTCCAAGTCCAAATTGGGAGTTGTAGCATCCATAAAATCCATGACTGGATCAACAGATACTGCTGGTGAAACGCCTCCACCCGTCATAAGACGCTGAACTTTCATTGAAGTATTTAACTTTTTTTTTCTAAAATAACATTTCGTAAATAAATATAATTAACATTTCTGACATAAATGCCAATTATTAAACAAAAACAGAGCCTTAGATATATTATCTAGCATTTTTTGCATAATTTGTGACCCATAGAAATATTTAAAAAATTATTTACGTACTTTTGTTTCATGTTGTCCCAGCATTTTTTCAATTGCTTGCTACTACGAGGTGTACATCCTTGGCTGCATCTTTTTGTAACTCTTTCCCAAGCTTCATTCTTACTTTTCAGATCCGTTACGCCTGTTTTTTTATTTTCTATAACTTTTTCTTCAGATATTGTGCAAGAAGCATCCGTTCCGTTTCAGTATAATGAACACTTTTTGATTCGCATTCCATAATTGCACATTAAAATTATTCTTCTAATGTTATTAAGTAAACTCACGAGAAGCAATAACAGGTCCAAGACAACTGTTATTAATGCACTATAAACGTTTATAGTGCCTTACTGTTATAGGTTATGCTTATTCGCGCTCTTTACAAATAAGTTACATTTTGATCACAAATTATCAAAAGTTCCTAGGGAATAGGCTCCTTCTGCAAGGAGACCTTAAGATATGATTATGAAACAAGGAAGTCTTGATAAAATAAGGATTCCTCCAATAAGGCTCCCTCAGTCCTTGAGATAAGGATCATCTATGAATACGGGTATTGGTTCCCAGGGAGTTCATTTTGTTGAGCTATAGGGGAGCTTATTAAATTCGACAAACTGAACTCCCATGGAGTTCATGTTGCTGAGCTTTCAAGGAGCTTACAAAATTTGACTAAATAAGTTCCCAGGGAGCTCATTTTGTTGAGCTCTCGGGGAGCTTATAAAATTTGATAAAATGAACTCCCAGGAAGTTTATATTGTTGAGCTTCTAAGGAGCTTACAAAATGCAAACCAAAATGAAGCTCAGGGCCGGTATTCATAGTCGATTCTTATTTCAAGACCGTCTTAAGTAATGTCTTAAGACGTTAATGCAGCCCTCTGATTGGTTCGTGACTTCTTAAGACCGTCCTTAAGACGATCTCGAATATAAGATCTGACTATGAATACCAGCCCTAGAGAATTCACAAAAGCGGGAAATAGGAGTTCCCGAGGAACTCCGTGCACGTTCTTTTTGAAGCTTAAATAAAGCTTCCAAAAATTTTACACAAAAAAAATCTAATTATAAAGTGAAATTTCTGGTAATCTCATATTCTAAGCAGAAACTTTTACAGAAAGAGTATTCCTCTTCCAATGCATTGGACTATTCATCAAAAATGTATTGGAGATTATTCTAACAGTTTTCCTCTTGTATGAAAAGGAATACATTTACTGAAAGCGGAGTGCTCTCTTACGAGTAAATTATATTAGGAACAAACGAAACACACACACAAGCAAAATTTTTACTGCAGATGCAAAACGAAAGTACTCTAAGTGTAAGAATATTGTGCTTAGCATATTTTCCTATTGATTTCAGAAGATTCCTCTTGAGGCCGTATATAAGAATAAAATCCTCTAAGATTTAGCGGTTTCTGCTAACATTAAAATTATGTTTTTTTTGGTATATGACCTCCCGGAGAGTTTCCCGAGAACTTCCCGTGCTGTGTAGGATCTGAGCAAATGGCAAAATCCGTATCGATTTTTTTTCGATGTCCAACCTATTGGCAAAAATTCAGAGCAATCGAGGAAAAATACCTTGCATCGTTTCCTTGTAAACAATGGTAAAAAATATATTAATTTTCGAAATTTTTGGTCGTTCTCGGCATAAACTCCATCTCACAGACACGTATTAATGCGTATACTTTAATCCTGGAAAAGGATTATCGAATCTGTGAAAAAGAAAAAAAGTATTTGCCATACAAACATATGATTTAGTCGATAATACAGACGACTTTAAAATTTCTTTAAACATACGAATCGTTGTTATAAAAAAAAAAAAATGAAAACGATTGAGAGATTAACAATTGATCTACGAATGAATATCGATCGTCCTGCGACAGTATGTATCACAAGACGCACCATAAAATTTCTAAACGTTCGCCGTGTCACGATCATTTACTAGCCAGCTCTGATCGATCGGGCAATGCTTGGCACGGTTCGAGAGAGATACGGCACGCCCGTTATGTGCTACGTATGTATATACTTCGTCTTGCATATTGGAACATTTCCACATCGTTTATCAGCCGATTCCTATTTCACGTTAATTGTAAGTGACGATTAAATAACACAAACGCGAATCACACGAAACAATTCGTTCTGCGAGCACGCGTATTACAGGTTAAGATAGCATAATTACATATCGCGTAACTATTTCTAATAGGGAAAAAAAAGCACAGCACATTCCAGTTCTAAAGAAATAAACGGTACGCAAGTAATAAGTAGATATGCAAATTGTCCACAAAAGTGCATTAACAAGGAGGGCTAAAATTAAGTTTTAAAAATCAATTCCTTATTCCAATTGTAATACCAATTACGTGTGTTTGCTTCTGTCAGATTTAATAATTTCTTCCAAAACGTGTACTATAATTTCTTTCGAAATGTGTATATATAAATCTGGAGACACTGGTAGTATCTCGGCGCTAAGCTACGCGTAGCGACACTACCATGGTTACTTTACGCGAGCCGGCGAGTTGCGGCAGATCGAGATTATCGGATCTCAATAAGAGCTGAATCGATCAAGTTCTAAGTGTGCTCAAACGATTGCAACCTCGGGATATATAATAAAAGTGTCTTTACTTTTTCTCTACGTGCTCTACGAGAGGAGATATTGCGACGCAAAATACGAATCTGAAACATTTATATTAAGAAACGTCATCATTATCATCGACGTCGTCGTCGTCGCAGCTACGAAGTGGTAGGGGTAATGTTCTTTTGGAATTTTTGGCGCAAGAGACAAATGTGGCGCTGGCAATGTGCATGGTCACATCACACATGTGTCTGTTTTCTGCGGCTGATGATTAGGTTAGGAAATCCGTCACATTGATGATATAGAGGAACACGTAAGTGATTTTCTGCTTCTACATACACAAATTAGACTTGCTCGACACGTCTTTAAATGAACGAATCTGGCAAAAAAAATGTATCACTTTACCCTGTGGACAGAGATATATTAAAATTGATCATTTTATATTCAGGTTAGGAAATCCATCACATCGATGGCATAGAAGGACATGAGAACATGTAATTGAAACTAGAATAAGTATTTTCTGCTTCAATTACACAAATTCTCTGCTTTAAAATCATATTCTTTGTTTTTATTTTTACAGCAGAGTATTTGTTATTTTTACTGCAGAGTATTTGTCTTGGTTAAATATTTTCTGTAAAGCAGAGAATTTGTTTAATTTATGCCATCGATGCAACAGATTTCCTAATCTGGATATCTGTAAACTTTAATTAATAACAATTAATAACTCGGTTCGCGGGGCAAAGCGACACATTTTTTATGTAGTGCAAAAATATGTCGAATGAATCTATCTTATTTTATCAACCTCGAGGAGGTGAGGAGGCTAAATTCAACAATTACCGAATGTTGATGTCTTGCATAAATCTAATTGTTTAGTGCGTTATAATTCGACCTTGTACATACATTATTATGTAACTTGTAATGCATTTCCAGAATTTTTCAACTGTGAGACAGACTCTGAGCTGTGCAATGACACATATCGATCTACGTATGAAAGAAGATTCTCTACTTTTCTTAGATGTGCTTGTACAAAATTGTAATAGTGCGCCGTTGGCGAAAGATAGTCATAAAATATTACCTAATTTTTTGAGTATGTACGTTGTAGGTTATATAAAATGATGAAGGTAGTCCTGTGGCACAATTAATAACAATGTTAACATTCCAAAAGTACTAATGTAAAATGGAGAATTAAAGTTCTGATATGTTTAGCTAATGTTTACCTCTATTTTATGTTAACTACAGGAATTTACCTCTATTTATTGTTAACTACAGGAAACTTTGTACAGGTACACGATCGATTATGCCTCCGTTGAATCTTGACGAAGATATGATCTCGATAGACAATTGTGAGAAAGAAACCTTACCTATAGAATTTATTGATGCCACTAATGTCTGATATTTAGCTCGAAGTATATCCAGATGAGAAAGTTGAGAGTTGCACAAAGATTACAATTTTGAGCGAAACAGCTGCATTAGTGAAAAATATTGTAATTATGCAATTAATTGTGGAATACATTGATTGGATCAGGATGATTATAGTGTCAAACGTATGAAGCGTTGGTTTAAAGGTACGTTTCATGATGCATATAGCGATGAAAAATTTCTTGTCGAGGTTGTGGTAAAGTAAAATCTTTTTAATGAATTCTCAATCATGCAATTTACGTAAGAATGTTTGGAACAAAATTTGGAACTTTGTCAAATTCACGTAAGGTTTACATTTCTGTTTAACTGCAACAAACAATTTCCCAAGTCTGTCAGGAGCTATTGCATATCCATTCTGAAGTATTATAAGTAATATTAGTATCTAATTATTACTATGTATGAGGCCTTTTTTTTATGAAATTCATTTTTAGGTATTATTGAAAATTGATGCGACTCGTCGATTTTACCTCAACTGACTAAACTACTAAAAACTTTATTTTTGAAAGCTGGACCAATTGGGTATAGCAACTGTATTAATTTGTACTTTAAGACTGATTATTGAAGCATCTTCTCGTTTGGCTAAGAATTATTGATGACATTATGTTGAACAGCAATTTAAATGAGTTGCACAGGTAATCGTTTTAAATAAAAAGTAAAAACTGCAAACGGTGGATAATTTAATTTTTGTATAGCACTTATTTAGGAATATGTGAAATAACGTATAATTGAGTAATTAAACGAACTTACAGTGAAGTTCGATTTCAATTATGCTGTCTCGTCCGGATGGATAATCGTAGTAGCGTTCCGCTGCTTTATCCTCAACAAGTCTTTAAAGTACGCAAGAATTGAAAGAAGGCGCTGCTCTCACGCCTTCCCATATGCACTTGCGCGTGCATCTGCACCGTGGCGCTCATTAGTTTAAAGTGACAAATCTGAAATAGGGTCTGGGTGGGAGGGAAGGTCCATCCGGACGAGACAGCATAATTGAAATCGAACTTCACTGCAAGTTCGTTTAATTACTCAATTATGCAACGTCTCGTCCGGATGGATAATCGTAGATCTTTAAAGTTCAGATTTGTGTATACCAGAATGAATAGGAGGAGCCTATTCAATTCCTATGAAACTAAATGTTTTAATTATAATCAGAATAACATATATTTGAAAAAGAGCTTGTAAACATGTGCTACTACTAGATATTATAGGAGGA